AAGAACAATAAAGTACCAAATTTCTTTCAAGTCTCCAGAAAACATATATAAAAGGTAGAATATGTCCTGGGTCGTAAAATAAAATAGCAAGAAATTAGAAAAATTAAAATCACACAAAATGTGTTCTCTACTCATAATAGAAACAATGCAGATATCAATAATGGAATAATAGCAGGAAAATTGCTAGACACTTGGAAATGAAAAAAATGTACTTCTACATAATCCATTAGTCAAAGAAACAATCTCAAGGAAATAAAAAGTGTTCACTGAACTGAATGAAAACAAAATTACAATGTATCAGAATACATGGACTGCAGTTAAATAGTGCTGAGAGGGAAATTTATTGCACTAGATAGATCAGAAAAAAAGAAAAATTTCAAGAAAATAATCTAAGCTCCCACCTCAAAATTCTAGGAAAAGCAGAGACAAATAAACCAAGGGAACCAGAAGAAAGAAACTTAAAAATGTAAGAGCAGAAATTAATAAATTTTTTAAGATAGAGAAAATTAAAGGAACTAAAAGGTATTTGAAAAAAATCAGCAAAATTAACAAACTTCTAGCAAGACTGACAAAGACAAAAGAGAAAAGAAACAAATCACCAATATTAGGAATGAAACAGGATGTTTCTGCAGATGCTAGAGATATTTTTTAAAAATAAGGAAATAAAGGAATACTGTGAATAACTCTACAAACATAAATGTGACAATTGAAATAAAATAGACCAATTCCTTAATAAGCTCAAATTGCCACAACTCACACAATAAAAGAAATAAGTTGAATAGTCCTACAAGTATCACAAAATGGAATTCAAGTTAAAACAAAACCTGAGAGCTTTATGGCCCTGTGCACCACGTGAGAAACCCTGAATACTTATCCAGGTGACCCTGGGACAGGATTATATCCTCCCTATGTTATTGCAACTGATGCTCTCTCGAAAGTGCCTCCTCCTGGCTGGAGGCCAACCAACACAAAATTACAGCTTAGCAAAATTACAACCAAAGACCCTCACGCAGTTCACTTCACTCCCCTGCTACCTTCACTAGAGCAGGTGCTGGTATCCATGGCTGACAAACCTAAAGACAGATCACATCAGAGGACCCTTTTCCCAGACACTCCTCAGTACCAGCTCAGAGCACAGTAGGTCCACTGGGTGGCTGGATCTAGAAAACAAATATCAATCACTGCAGTTAGGCTTTCAGGAAGCCCCATTCCTAGGAGAAGGGGGAGAGCACCACATCAAGGGAGCACCCCATGGGAACAAAGAATCTGAATAACTGACCTCGAGTCCCAGGTTTTCCCTCTGACATAGTGTACCCAAATGAGAGGGAACCAGATAAACAATTCTGGTAATATGGCAAAGCAAGATTCTTTACACCTCCAAAAGATCAAAATGAAATATCTAAATTGCCAGAAAAAGAATTTAGAAGGTTGACTATTAAGCCAATCAAGGAAGCACCAGAGAAAGGTTAATTTAAAGAAATGTTTAAAAAAAACGATATAGAATATTAATGGGGAGATCTCCAGTGAAATAGAGAGCATTAATAAAAAACAATGACAACTTTTGGAAATGAAGAACACACTTAGAGAATGCAAAAATAACACTGGAAAGTCTCAGCAATAGAATCAAAAAGTAGAAGAACGAACCTCAGAGCTTTGAAAACAGCCTTTTGAGTTAATCCTTCTGACAAAAATGAAGAAAAAATAATTTTGAAATGAACAAAGCCTTCAAGAAGTTTGGAGATTATGTTAAATGATGAAACCTAAGAAATAATTGGTGTTGCTGAGGAAGAAGTGAAATCCAAAAGTTTGGAAAATGTATTTGAGGGAATATTCAAGAAAAATATTCCTGGCCTGCTAGAGGTGTAGACATCCAAATACAAGAGCTCAAAGAACACCTGGGAAACTTCATTGCAGGAAAGATCATTGCCTAGATCACACAGTCATTAGGTTACTCAAAGTCAAACACCAAGAGAAATAATCTTAAGTGCTGTGAGGCAAAACATCAGGTAAGCCTATAGAGGAAAACCTATAGAGGAAAACCTATCAGATTAACAGTAGATTTTTCAGCAGAAACCCTACAAGTCAGAAGAGATTGAGTCCTGCTTTTAGCCTCCTTCAGCAAAACAAATTATCAGCCAAGAATTTATATTTCAGCAACAAGCAAGCTTCATAAATGAAGGAAAGATACAGTCTTTTTCAGACAGCAAATGTGAAGCGAATTTGCCACTACAAGCCAGTTACTCACAAGAACTGATAAAAAGGAACTCTAAATTCTTGAAACAAATCCTCAAATACATCAAATAGAATCTCTTAAAGCACACATCTCACAGGATTTATAAAACAATAACACAGACAAAAGAAACCCAGGTATTCAGGTAACAAATAACGTGATGAATAGAATAGGCACCTCTCATATCTCAACACTAACATTGAATGTAAATGGCCTAAATGCTTCACTTAAAAGATACACAATGGCAGCAGAATGGATAGAATTCAGCAACCAACACTCGGCATGGTGGCTTATGCCTGTAATCCCAGCACTTTTGGGAGGCTGAGGCAGGCAAATCATGAAGTCAGGGTTCAGACCAGCCTGGCCAACATGTGAAACCCTGTTCTCTACTAAAAATACAAAAAGCGTATACAGGCATTGGCTGGGTGTGCCTGTGCGCGCTACTCCAGGAGGCTGGGGCATGAGATCACTTGAAACTTGGGAGTAGAGGATGCAGTGAGCCGGAATTGCACTATTGCACTCCAGCCTGGGTGGCGAGATGAGAGACTCCATCTCAGACAAAAAAAAAAAAATTCAGCAACCAAGTACTGCCTGCTTCCAGACACTCACCTAATGCATAAGGACTTCCATAAACTTAAGGTAATAGAGCTGGGAAAGTGATATTCTGGTGCAAAATGGGCAACAAAATGAGCAGTGATTGGAGTATTCTTATATCAACAAAATCAGACTTTAAAGCCAACAACAGTTTAAAAAGACAGAGGTGAAACACTATATAGCCACATCCAAGGAAAGTCCAGACAGGAAAATATATCTAAATCCTAAACATACAGCACCTCACACTGAAGTTTCCCAAATTTATAAAACAATTACTATTATACTAGGCCTATGAAAGGAGATAGACAGCACTGTAATCCAGCACTTTGGGAGGCGAGGCGGCGGCGATCACGAGGTCAGGAGAATCGAGACCACCCTGGCTAACACGGTGAAACCCCCTCTCTACGAGAAATACAAGAAAATTAGCCAGGCAAGGCTGGCATGCC